AAAAAATTATATACTTTTTTCCCATTACCCTTTGGTAACGGAAACTGCTTTATAAAACAAGTGAATTAAACTTTGATCAAAATCACGAGGTACTTGACCAGCACTCCTTTGATAATCTAAAGTGTAAGAGTGTTGTTCCTGATAATATGACAGCTTTTGATCTTCTTCCTTTCTCTCTTTTACACCTAAACACAAGAAGCCTAATAAAGCATCACAACGACTTACTCTCCCTGCTAGCTTCTATGGACCACTTCTTTGATATTATAGGATGTAGTGAAACCTGGGTGAATGAAATGTCTTATATGGACACTCTGAACCTGGATGGCTATGTACTGTACAATAAGAATAGAACAGGTAGACCAGGTGGGGGTGTGTGTATATATGCAAACATACAACACTCTGTGACTGTACGCGACGACCTATATATTGACGATGGACAATCCGATTCCCTCTTCATAGAGATGCATGTAGAAAATAGGAAAAATATAATTGTAGGAATAATCTATCGACCTCCAGACTCTGACCTAAATTGCTTCATGAATAAGCTAGATGACTTATTAAACTGCATCAATGGCTCTAATAAAAACTGTTTTATTCTTGGGGATTTTAACATCGACCTGGCCAAAAATAGTGGCATGAAAAAAGACTTTCTAAATTGTCTTTTGTCTTCGTCTTTCTTCCCAACAATAAACTCGTACACTAGAGTCACTGAAACCACCAAATCCATTATTGATAACATTTTAATAAATATTGAAAATGCTCGTTTTGACTCTGGTGTAATCATGACAGATTTTACTGACCACTTCCCAGTTGTACTCTTCCTTGATCTGGATAGTACGTCTGGGAAACAACCGAGCAACAATTCTCACAAGGGGAAATGTAAAGTAATAACAGAAAAATATTTGTCCAAATTGTCAGTAATGCTTAAGCATAAAACATGGGACTCTGTTTATAACTGTGAAACTCCAGATGAAGCTTACAATAATTTTATTAATGAATTAACAAACAGCATTAATTCAACAATACCAGAAAGGACCATTAAAGCAAATAAGACTGAACAGAAGGCATGGCTCTCAAAGGGGATCTTAAAGTCAATTAAAAGGAAAAATAGGCTCTATAAAAAATACATTGAAAACCCAACTATTGAAAACAAAATAAAATATACAAACTACAAGAACAAGCTAACAAAGATAATAAGAACTAGTAAACGAAACCACTACACCGAGCTTATTAAGGCTTCTCGTGGTGATCAAAAGCAGTGTTGGAAAGTACTGAACAGCGTGCTCAGCCGGGGTCAAAAAACTACGGTCCTTCCCGACACCATAATTCAGCAAAATGGGAAAAGCTTTCTAAACAATGATGATCTTGCTAACAACTTCAACAACTACTTTAATTCAATAGGAGAAACACTCTCAAAAGCCATAAGTCCACCAGGGGGAGCTAACTACAAACAATACTTGAAAGGGAATTATCTACACTCCTTCTTTCTAACGCCTACTGATAAAACTGAAGTTTCCAAAATCATAATGAACATGAAAAGTTCACATACTGCTGGTATTGATGAGATATGTAGTAAAATTGTCAAATTCATTGCACTGGACATTGTAGACCCACTCGTTTATTGCATTAATCTCTCTCTAATTCAAGGTGTAGTTCCGAAAATGACTAAGATTGCAAAAATATTGCCAATTTTCAAATCTGGTGACAAAAATAACTTGCAAAACTATCGACCAATATCCATCCTACCGACATTTTCTAAGGTGCTTGAGAGAGTTGTTTATGGTAGGTTGAGTGGATATTTGGACAAACTGGATATACTCATCCCAGCTCAGTATGGATTTAGAAAAAAGAGTACCACATGTATGGCAGTTCTTGATCTCATTGAAAAAATTAATGACACTGTTGATAAAGGGGAATGTGGAATTGGTGTCTTTCTTGATTTATCAAAAGCGTTTGACACCATTGATTTTGAGATCCTTATTGGGAAACTCGAACACTATGGGGTCAGGGGAATTGCACTCAGGTGGTTTAGAAGCTATTTATTTGAAAGGGAGCATTATGTCCAATTACAAAACAGCAAATCCCAACATAAAATTATTAAATATGGAGTCCCCCAGGGCTCTATATTGGGGCCACTTCTCTTCATTGTTTATGTAAATGATTTTATGAATTCGTCTATTGTTCTTCATAAGGTGTTATTTGCTGATGACACAAACCTATTCCTGTCACACAGAAATTTGGACAGTCTAGAAGAAGTTGTGAATGAAGAACTCATCAATGTAGAAAATTGGCTAAAATGCAACAAACTATCATTAAACATAAACAAAACCAACTATATAATATTCCGTTCAAATAGAAGCTGTAAAGACATTGAAAGTATTAAAATACAAATTAATGGAAGAGTTCTTGAGAGAGTTGAGAACATCAAATTTTTAGGAATATATTTGGATGAATTCTTGAACTTTAAAAAACACATAGATTATCTAATGAATAAACTATCTAAATATGTTGGTCTATTTCTCAAATTGAGACATTATCTACCCCTTGAAGCTCTCCTAGCTCTATACCGGTCTCTATTTGAACCGCACCTTAATTATTGTAATGTAATATGGTGTAACACGTATCCAAGCCACCTTGAAAAGCTACTGATTCTACAAAAGAAATTAATTCGTAATATTGCTTGGTCTAAATATGATGCTCCCTCTGATCCTCTCTTTTACAGGTTTAAGCTACTGAAGCTCACTGAGTGCAACAGTTTTCATAACGCTTGCATTATGTATAATGTAGTATACAAACTAAATACCAGGCTCTCCAGTCTCATCCCAGTGACCTCTGCCCCTCACTGTCACAACACTAGAGGGAAACCCTTACTGCGAGGGAAAAAGCGCAAGCTGAAGTGCACTAGTTTTAGCGTAGCATGCAAGGGCCCTGAGATCTGGAATGAGCTTGACAACTCCATAAAAGAATCATCTTCTCTGAATGTTTTTAAAAAGAATCTAAAGTGTAAACTACTGCTGCATTATGCATAATGCAACCCTCTATAGCAGACAACCATTTACTATTTTATTTGGTCTTGTCCCGGTTAGATCTGAGTGAATGAGCACTAACGCGTACGTAAGGTTTTCATTTCATTTCTTGTATGTTATTGCAGAACTGATGTGAGTGTGTTGAAGCGGACTGTATATGTTTGATAGACATGGTAAGGCATGACTGCTACTGGCAGTCTGAAAATGCATTGAACTGGGGAGGGGGGGGAGGGGGGGTGGGTTGTGGGAGACTGTTTATTTTATTTTGTTGTCCTGTTCTTTCGACATGTGAATGTTATTGGGGCCCCTATATATAAGCCAAGTTGTGCTTCATGGGAGTCCCTTCACAAACCTAATTGTCTAATTGTAAAAGATGTGGATTCAACTCATGTTTGTGAACAAATAAATAATAATAATAATAATAATAATAATACACATAAAAATCATAAATATTACAGAACATTTTTATTGTTTGATTTTTTTTACTACTTAATTATGTGAAAATAGTGAATAATGCAAATGTTAAAGAATATTGACAAACTACTTTAACCCTCCTTCACACAATCACTCAATACAACGTGGTTTATCTTTGTTCCAGTAGAATAAATGAGTGAGTTATGTTTCCTCTTCTCTGCTACGTGTTATTCCCAAATGTTGAAATATTCAGCATCTCGGCCTGGACACTGCTGAAGGATTTTTTGAAGGAAGTGAAGTGAAGACAATCCTGGCGAGTCAGTGATTTCAATCAAAGAGGATGAACTACTTCGTGACGCCACATTGTTATAAAACCCACCTCATAAATCAAGCGTAGTATTTCATTCAATTCAATTCAGTTTGGTTCTTCTGAAGAGTCCATTTCTCTTTGGATATGTTACTGGGAAATTCCTCCAACGTTTCTCTCGCAAAAATGTCATCAAATCATTTCTACGCTATATGCAAATAATATGCAAATTAGCCTGTTTTATTTGCGTCGCATTTGCCTTCAGTGTTTAGCTTGATATATCTGACATTTATTTTAATTACCGGTTATTAACTCAACAAAGGGTTTTTCTCAGTAATCTCTTTTTATTTGCTTGGATAATGTATAAACACGTAAGCGCGTCCTCGTGCGCGTGTCCGCTCCAGCTGCTGCGGCTTCACTTTGTCCGTTTAACAGCAACAGCCACGAGGGAAAAGAGACGTCCTGTTTAACGGTCCTGTTTTTGGTGCAAACAGAGAGTGCAATGGGCAAAACAAAGTTGCGCCTGCGGGCATTCCCAATCACGGCCTCCCCGCCCCTGCGCGCTGCTCTGGCCTCAGTTCAATGCTCCTCCAGCATCAACACTAGACTCTTGTATTTTTGGTTAAATACGAGTTAATACGAGCCGGTTACGGTTATAGACCGTGGTGGTGACGCACGCTGACGTAGCGCGGTGTGCGTGTACAAGACAAAAGTGCACTCTTGTGTTTGTTTTCAGATTCTGTAGTTTCCTTTACACAATTTTGTGTAACATAAGTTCTTCTTGGAGTAAACTTATTGAACTCTGCTAAAAATAATGAAGTACAACTGTAGTGTATAAGTGTAATTGTAAACGTGTCATCGTCTGACATGAGAGTTCTTTTCTGCACTTCTCCATTAGCCTAAATAAATGTAAAATAAGACGGAGGTGAAAAACCTTGGGAAAACATTATATTTATTTTGTAAACAAGACAAAAAGAAGTTCACTCTGGCATGTGCAAAATGACAGTTTGGCGTAACGCAGAGTGCGCGCACCAAATCAACTCTTAACGGAGATATTTTCAAAGCAGAGTTTTAGCTTCAATAAACGCCACCGCAACAAACGTTGTGACGCTGTGTTCAGTGTTGCACAAATCCAAGCTTTATAAATAAATACAAATATAAAAATCATATATTACATATGGATAATTTAACGTTAGAATCTGAATCCGTGCCAAGTCCTCGCTGAGCCACAGAGAGGCCCAAACAAACGCGCTCTATTTGAGTCCGTGCTGCGTCTCTTTGTGCCGCCTCAGGTCCACTTTCCTCTGGAAGCCCTTCCCGCACATGTCGCATCCAAACGGCTTGTAGCCCGTGTGCTTCCGGCTGTGCGTGATCAGGTTCGAGCTCTGACTGAACGCCTTCCCGCAGACCTGGCATTTGTGCGGCTTCTCTCCTGAAATCACAGAACAACAGAACAGTTTGGGAGTCATTCAAACTAGAATATCACATCACAAAAGCACATCTCGATGTTGAATGATGGCGTTTATGTGAGTCATGTAAAACGTGTCTTTGCACCCGCTCACCTGTGTGGATGAACGTGTGTTTCTTCATGTCGGACTTCTGGTGGAACCTCTTGCCGCAGTATTGGCACGGGTAGGGCCGCGTGTCCGAGTGGATGAGCAGGTGCGTGGACAGCGTGGACGAACGCTTGAAACTCTTCCCGCAGATTTTACAGTCGAAGCTCCTCTCCTGTGACACATACTGCACTTTTAGCTCACTGTACTCGTATGCACTGCACTTGTAGCTCACTGTACTCGTATGCACTCAGTTAAGTTAGACTTTGGCGAAATGTACATGTCACATTTGGCATAGATAGAATCACTCAAGGTGTGCAAAAGACAGAAGTAACTCACTGTACTCGTATACACTGCACTTACTCACTGTACTCGTATACACTGCACTTGTAACTCAATGTACTTGTATACAGGTGGTTTGTCTGTGCGTGAGGCGTCTTACCTGTGAATGCACGGCTTTGTGCTGCTCCAAGCTGACTGCGTGCCCAAACGTCTTCCCGCAGATTTCACACGCAAAAGGCCGCGTCCCGCTGTGAGACCTGCGTACGTGTACCTCCAGGCCATGTGGTGTCGAGAAAACCTGCAAAACAGAGGCAAAAATCCACGTTTAAAAGTGTTTAAATCTAGGGAGCGGAGTGGATGCTAGAGAGATGTTTTTTTCTGCGAACTGGAGAAGAGAGGTCCTTTATATTGTGCGTCTGCAACTGTTGCTGTTCCTCTGTTGTTTTTGCTATACTTAATCTGAGTGACGTGATAAAGACTCACTTTGCTGCACTTGATGCACTTGTAGGCCCCGCTGAGGAGGAGGCTGGAGCACAGCAGGTCTTGGGCTTTGGCTTCGTGGTTTTTCATGTCCGGAAAGAGCAGCGACGCGGTGTGTCTCCGGTAGTCTCCGTAACTGCAGTCCTCTGGATACATGACGGGGCTTCGGTTACCGTAAAAAGCGACAGCGGAGCCCGGACTGCGCTCCAGATCCACCCGGTGTGAGGAGAGGCCTTGTGGCTGCAGGAGTTGCCTCGGACCCGGGGGGCTGTCCCACGCGTACGGCCGGAACGGGACTGTGAAGTGCTGGTTGTCGTCCACCAAAGGAGACAAAGACTTCTCTGATGCTAAAATGTAAATGCATGAGGTTATTACGCAGGTCAGAGGGCCATTTTCACCCTAAAATAGACTAAACAAAATACAAGAATAAACTTATGTCTAAATCGTGGTAGTAGGTCGTTTAAAGGCCTATGCCAAACCGAACGGGCTGTTTTGTATATCATTGGCCTTGAATATGTGTGTCCGCGGTGCATGGCCTAAGAGGGCGTTGTACAAACGGCTGATGTTAATGTATAGGCATATAAGGTTTAATTAGTGAATTTATATTTGTTATTTTTAAAAGATGTCATGAATCTTTAAAACGACGGCTTGTGCGTGCGCATACCTGGCGAGGCGGATGGAGACGGTGGCCTCCAGTAGTCCTCATAGTCTGGGGAGCGCTCGCAGCCGCTGTCCACGCAGCTCAGCGACGATTTGGGAGAAAAGTGAACCACGTCCAGGATGTGGGAGTGCGGAGACAGGCCGCAGCGGTCCACTGAGAGGTCCAGGGACACGTCCAGGTCTTCAGACACTCTGTCCGCGTCTGAAGGATGATCATTTCAGATTTAAAGCTTCTACCTCAACATTAGCCTTTAGATTTAATATTCATATAAAGTCATCTAATTTACTCAAATATGAAACACGGTAGGTCCCTCTACAGATCAGAACGTTCCCCGTCAGCACTGAGCTTTATTATTAAACCAGTTGTTATTAATATTGGACTTTTATTGATGGCATGCAATCCCATTGATGGTTCACCGTTTCTTAAAGATTTCTTGAGCTACATCGTGCTTTATGAACGAGGCGTACATCTGAAGGAAATTCAAAGGAATCATTAAAAACTAAATTATAGTGTAAACATTGACCCAATAAAATAGTCTATACTGTCTCGTTTAATAAATGTCTGTTTCGTAGATGCATGTTTTGCTACTAAATTGATGATGATTTAAAAATATATATATATATATATATATATATATATATTATTTATTCGTTATCCATTATAGAAGTTATTAGACAGTTTCTCACCTGAGCAGATCTGTGCCAGTATCGTGTCCAGTCTACTGTAGTCATCCTCCAAACTCCGGGGCTGGTGGTAGCTGTGCGCTTTTTTGCTTTTCACCAAAAATGAACGAGGCATGTTGAGTCAGTCCGCGCGTAAATCCCTTATATTCCCGTCAGAATGGTCGGTTGTAAACTCCACAGGCCCCGGTGCTGCGCTCTGAGCCACTGCTGCGTCTGGACTTCACTGACCTGCGGGCTCTTAAGAGGAGCCGGAGCTGACAGCTGAGCATGCGCAGTGGGCTACCCCGTTTGCCAGGTGCCATGCGCTATGACGCACAGGTGCATCTGGTCACAACTGAGAGACAGTAAAGAAGGAAGATCTTCATGACACGACATAAGTCAATTTCAAGAAGTTCAGAATTGAGGGTGCTCTTACAAAGTCAGCCTCCAAACGTCACTTTTGTTTGAGGACATTGTCAAAAATCCTGTTACCAGCTATCCTTGCTACTGCTATAATTCTTTTTTTTAATCTCTTTTACACGGAAGTTACTTTGTCTTAAACAGACATAAATGTTACTTACTCAAATGTCTCAAAATGTTATTGATATGACATCTTTTCAACCAGAATTGATTTATTCCAGCATTATGAAATTGCACCAGATTGACCAATAGGCCTATATTAGATCTAAGCTTGATCAGTGAAGTCTGTGGTGTAGGGTGTAACTCATGCGTGCCGCATTTTTATCTGTGATGAACTAATCTACTGGAGACGCGCAGAAAGGAAGCGATGTTTGAACCACAGGACGCCTGCACTCACGCGGCTGCATGTGCCCCATGCACAGCATTAAGGGGTGCCATGATCTGTGCGTAAAACGTGATCCCTTTTATTTGAGTGATATCACAGAGATATTTATTACATTTACATATAGGCCTATAGCGCTTTTTACATCATGGAACCACTCATCCATTGTGTCATTGACCAGGACACAGCCGCAGTGTTCATGTGAAGTCAGGGTTCTGTCAAAGGCTCGGGAGTCTCAAAGGCCACACGGTTTAATTGTTGCTAATTTGATCTTTTATCATTATTCGACTTCGCACATTGGGCTGAAAACAACCACAAAATCAATCATCAAATGGAGTTAAATTAAGTCAATTATCTTGCCGCTGGTGCGTTTTACGCACATTCCACTGAACCCTTTGTTGCGCGCGTCCATAGCCCCCTGTCTGAAGCAGCCGCAGATCCACAATAGCAGAGTTATTAAGCCTTATTAGTGTCACTTGGCTGCTCCTTGTGCTGTCATTACGCGACAGACAGCGTGCGTACGAGCGTGCGCCTGAGGTCATGTTACCGCTGAGGACAAGACCCCAAACATTACAAGAGTTTTGTTTTCAACTCGCCTTTGTGGCGTTTGTTTGTGCCTCACGAACTGAAGAGAAGGAGCAACACACGCCCTGGTCATTTAAATTAAAACACTTTACATCTGGATTATCCAAAATCATTTATGATGGCGAACAACGGGAAATCAAAGCAAAACGTGCCAGATTACTCCGAATCTGCGGTATCCGGAGAAGGCCGAGTGATAAAAGTATTGATGCAGCTTCAGGTGCTATCTAAAGTGTGATAGGAGGCTGTGCAACTGCAGCCACATGCAGCGTTCATGGTGTCAGGAAATCAGTCTGCAAGGTGCAGACAAAATGTAAGTCCAAGAGTGAGAAACGTCGAGTGACTTAAATTCAAAATTTGAAAAGAAATTGGCTGTAGCCTGTTCTCCAGGTTTTGTCTGCCAGAAAAACAGCATAGCAGGATCTGATACATTAATATATAATCTAGCACATATATTATTTTAATAGTTCCAAAATAGGTTGGATAATTTATTTAGTCAGACATGGGCCTATGTTTACCTTCATATTAATGAAAAAATCTGATCCTTTGAAAAACAAATCTGTGTGTCACGGATCAGCCACTTTATCTCCAATAACATGAAGTGAAACACTCTCTTGAAACTAACAGCTCTGAAACTTAAGAAAAAAAATCACTTCCTGGATGCTGTCAATCATGACTCTTTAGAGGAACACTACATCATGACAAGAGTAACACCTGAGTTTATCAAAACATTCCTTTATTGTGACAACGCTTCCCACACAGCAACAACATTGGTTTAGTTTGTGTCTATTCTCCGTAGTGTTGCATGTTTGTTCTCGTAGCACTAGCGTCTCCACATGTGCCGTTCCCTTCGCCCTTTAGTCGCCCAAATAACACAGGTTATCTTGTTAATGATCAGAAGTCCATCTTCCTTGTTGCTTCCGTTATAACGTTCGAGCCCATTAAAAGGAAAAAAAACTGTAAATTTAGGTTCTCAGCTCATTTTCAGTTCAGTTTTGTAACTTACACGCTACAATTGAGAATTAGCTTTTCATCTTCATTGCCTTTCAGTTAGAAATAGCAACTGTCATTCAAATCTGTGTGTCTCCTAATGTATCATTTTGGACTTTTCCCTTTTTGTACAATCAAAACAGATATGCAATAGATACATATTTCAAGTTCAAAGGAGTCGAAAAAACATAATACACATGTACATATCTACAAATATGCAGATGTCACGTGTGCCGTTAAGGCAAGTGACTTAAGGCCGATAGGAGTAGTAGTAGTTATAATAACAATAATAATAATAATAATACACATTTTCCGCTGGCGCAAGCAGGTTTGATACCAGGCTCAGGCAAAACAACAGATATAGTTGATATTTACAAACTTACAGCCACTGCATCACGCTTTGTAGTAACGGCAATGTTAATCTCAGCTATAAAAGTTATTAAAAAGTATAAAAACACAATGGAGAGTGTTGTGAAAAATATCATATTGCACAATCTCTTGCTTAGAAATCCGCTTACTGTTTTCAGAAACTACAAAACTGGAGGTAAACAGTGACAATCTATGGAGCGGTGGTTCTCAGCCTGGGGTGCAGGTACAATAGGTGGGACACAGGCCTCTCCAGATTAGACTTACAATGGTCTTACTCTCTTGATTTTGGTGCTAGTTAAGGAAGGGTCTATAGATAATAGTAACAGATTTATATCTTTTGATCTGCCAATATACATAAAAGGTACTGTACCTGATTTTCACGATTAGACCCATACAAAACAAGTCCATGCTGATGTCCAAACATATTCTAAATATTTTAATATCATGCAATCAAATTTTATCAACCAGAATAGAAAGTGGTTTTACTTGATTGACGGAAAAACAAGTACAGCACCTCTTAAAAAATCTGTCTAAGCCACCATTTTGACTGAGTTTTTTGTTGTCATCAAGTTTGGACATTTTGAAATCCCAGTTTAGTTCTTGACGAGTCTAAACACTCATTGCTTTTAAAGGACTCGGTTCACTTTAGAAGTAAACGCAACAGTCGACACTGACATTCCTGACATCTTCAAATCAGTCTGAAGTGACAAGTGGACTTAGATGCTGTTTTTACGCATTCCCATCTCCACAAATAAAACCACATTTAGTCCAAAGTGCACGAACGAAGCCACAGTCTTTGTTATACAACATTGTTTCCCAGCACTGGCAGTTACTACGGGTGCGATCTACTAAAAAACAGCAGACCTTTTGTGAAATGATAACCCCCACTCCTGTTTTTTTCCAGCCTATAGTTGCTCGTCACACCGTAGTGGACATATGATTGGCTGTGGGAGGAACAGTGAGTCTCAGTTCTTCCTCCCCTTCGTCTTCGTCGCTGTCGGTGTCCGGGAGGTTGGGTCTGAGGCGGATGCGGCCTGGGCCTCCCCTCTGGTCCGGACTGGGAACTTCCTGGAGGCTGGGGTCGCGGGATCTGTCCTCGTCGGAAGAGTGGTAAGACTCCAGATTGCCGAAGTGGTTGACAAGGTTGATGCCGTCAAATGTGGACTGGTTGGACATACCCCTTTGGCCTTTGAGACAGCAGATCTGAAATGAGGGAAAAATAATAACTATTACAACTGGCGCTGGGTGTTTGGGAGTATTTTGTTAACGATAGATTCAATTTGAGGCAATCCACCATAACTGGCATATGTGTCTCTATATGGATTGGTTTAGGGTCAAAATCCAAATTTTATGAAAAGGGAATTTAAATTGAATGCATGTTAAATACCTTTCCTGTTCATCTCTGTTTTGATTTGGAAAAAAAGATGGGCGATGTAAAAATGTTGCCTTTTTAAAAAGGTTGCAATAACAGTAATACATCTATTATAATACAAATATTTGATACAATAATAAATGGAAGAAGCCCAGAAATACAAGAAGATAATATTGTAGTAAGACACTAATTTTAGAAACAATAAGAAATCTGATTATAAACAAAATTGTCTTTGTCATATGATTCATTCTAAAGTTTCTTTTGGGGCACACACATCACAGGGAATTTGATGTATGATGGGAATTACATGTAAAATGAGTAACAAAATCGATTTTTTTCTCTAATAAATATTTTTGATTTGAATTTGTTGCATGTAACTGCACACTAATGTAACACCAACATTAAATAGAATAACAAGCTTCAGAAAAAAAGAACATGACCATAGTAGATCAGTGCTTAACATTCACTTCCAACACAGTGGTAAGCTACTTCTGAAGTCACAGCTGCCCTGGGGCATACCGACTGATGTGAGATGGCTAATTTAAGCCATCAGCCCCTCTGACCACCACCAACCATTCATGCATGCATACAGACTAGGCAATGAGTGAAGTGTCTTGCCTAAGCACACAACGGCAGCCGCACCCTCCCCAAAAAGGCCCTTCACAAGTCTCCCATCCCAGTACCAACCTGGCCCTGCCCTGCTTGGCTCTTACGGGAATCAAACCTTCACATGCGGGTCTGGCCATGCTGAATTACACTTTGAATTTGTATTGATCCATTCTTTACAAGGGAGAGCAGGGACATTTGGAGCAGACGCATGCATAAAAGGAGAGAGACATTATCCCAAAAAGAGTTGATGTATGACTGATGTATGGCTGGGGCTGAAATGACACGGGTCGTTTGAGGACATACCTGGTACAACCTGTAGACCGCAGTCAGACATGTAGAAGGGACAAAACGCATCTCTTTAAATCAGGGGTGCCCAAACCTTTTGCTTCCAAGGGCCAAAGTAAAAATTTGCCAGTCGGCCGCGGGCCAAATACACCGATATTTCGCATGAAACAAAAATAAATGTAGATTTGATCAAGTTCAATTAAATGCATTAATTATTGTCTATCAGTGCAAATCACAGCTGAATGAATGAAATCAACAGTCTTAGTGAAGTGGAGACTCCAGGGAAATATGCAGGTTTGAGGAGACTACAGTACGGAAAGATTCCGGCCGGGTAATCAGGGTCCAGAGGAGGGAGATTTTCTGTCATGGCTTTTTTACAGCTTAAAATCATATAAAAAACCTCTAAAAGAGAACAGAAACATACATTTTCTATGTAACTAAACTGTTTTTTAAATGCCACTTGTAAACAAATAATGTTCCTGCTAGTAAATGAAAGTACTAATTTATATTAAATAATATCATACTCCCAAATTAAATAATCTATATTTTTAACCTGCTCATGTCAGTAAACTGTTTGTTGAAGACCTTTTTCTAAACAGTTTTGCATTACTATATAGTGATTTATAATGTATAGGTTTATTGTACTAGCAAATGACATTTACTTTACAAAAGTAAAGTCTATTTTCATATATTTATTTTGAACAAAAGTTTTTAACTACATTTGAATCATATTACTTTATCTTAGCTTTTATCCGGACTATCTGTTTTTATTTCTGGTCCAATCCCGACTGTAAACAGAGGTGACTGCCTCTACAGTCGTGTTGTGGCGCTGCATATGTGGCTCCAGGCTACATGCAGCTCTTTTAACTTTGTCTTTGTGAATAACTTTGCCCTTTTCTGGAAACGTTACGAAGCCTATCGTCCAGACGGATTACACCCAAACAGATACGGTAGCAGCCTGTTGATGGATTACATACGTTATGTTGTTCAGCGTTCCCCGAGGGGGGCGTGACTGTTTACATCTGAGCCCCCTCGGACCCCACCGCACTCCCCCGCCTCCTGCTCACCAGCACCGGGTGAGTACAACGGTGCAAACACTGCTCCCTGTCCGTCTGGCAGTGCATTACCAGTCCAAACACTGAACTGTGCTGACTCCCTTCTGACTCTGGGAGCTAAAGAACAACAAGGGTTTTCACATTTTAGGCCAATTGAGACTGTGTGTGTTCCTCGCACCAGCTCAAAAATGTTTTTAAATTCTAAAAAACGAAATCAAAACAGGACAGCAGTTAGACGGTCCAACTCTGCAAATCTAATTTCTGTTCCCTGTAGAAATCAATCAACCACATTAATCGACTCTGACGTTATTTTTAAACTTGCTATGCTTAATGTCAGATCTCTATGTAACAAATCATTTTTAATTAATAATTTTATCACTTCTTATGATCTTGATTTTATGCTTATGGCTGAAACATGGCTCGACCAAAATACAGGAAATGCAGTTCTAATAGAAGCAACACCACCCAATTTTAAATTCGAATCCGAAATACGAGAAAACAAAAGGGGGGGAGGCATAGCTGCAGTTTTTAGAGAGCACTTTGTCTCCCATAGAATGCCCCTTGGAAATTTTTCATCGTTTGAGTATATTTCTTTTAAAATGGAACAAAAGCAATCTTCTACTCTTTTCATTGTCCTGTACAGGCCACCACAGTCATGTTGCGATTTTATTGACCATTTTACTGAACTACTTTCATTCGTGTGCACAGATTTTGATAGTTTAGTTATTACAGGTGATTTTAATGTACATGTTGATAATGTTGATGACAGAAATGCAAAGGAGCTGGCTTCTGTATTTGAGACCTTTGGTTTCATTCAGCACGTGAGTGGCCCCACCCACAGCAGGGGGCACACTCTTGACCTGCTAATTACAAAGGGGGTTAATGTATCAAATGTTAATGTAGTTGATGTTGCTTTGTCAGATCATTTCTGTGTATTTTTTGACATGTGTTTTGCTAGCAAACCACCAGCTGAATTTACAACTGTTAGAAGAAGACACATACATGAAAACACAAGTGAACTGTTCATGGGAATGCTAAATTTTGAGAAAACTCCATGCTCTACTGTTGATGAATTGTATAACTCTGTCACCACCAGTGTTCTGACTGTTCTGGACGCCATTGCTCCTGTGACGGTTAAAATAGTTACCAGTAAGAAAAAGGCCCCATGGACTAAGGCAGACTCGGTTAGGGCACAGAAGCAAGAGTGCCGGAGGGCCGAACGGAAGTGGCGAAAGTCCAATTTCCAGGGCGATTATGAAATCTTTAAAGATGAGTTGGGTGAATTTAACCGGGTTCTACGTAGAACAAGAGAAATGTATTTTTCTGACATTATTGGAGGTTGCAGTAACAATTTTCGTGTTATGTTTTCAACAGTTGGTAGATTAACGAACCCCCCTGTAAAGTTGCCCCTAGAATTTTCCTCTAAATCTAGGTGTAATGAGTTCGCACAGTTTTTCGATGACAAAGTACAAGGAATCAAAAACACTATCACCTCCACAGCACGTATAACAATGCAACAGCCAGAGAAGCTTTTTGAGCTAACTCACTTTGCACCTGTGGATACTGAAACTGTCAAAAAGATAATCATGAGTCTGAGCTCCTCCACATGTAGCCTGGATATATTGCCCTCTAAATTTCTGAAGTCCGTCCTGAGCAGTTTGTTACCTTCACTGACACAAATAGTAAACATGTCTCTGTCGTCAGGAACATTTCCTATGGCCCTAAAAACAGCAGTCATAAGACCTCTCCTAAAAAAGAGCAGTCTGGATCCTGCGGGACTTCAAAATTATCGCCCCATATCGAATCTGCCATTTATTGGAAAAATTCTTGAAAAAGTGGCCTCCCAACAACTTACTGAATTTTTAACAATGAATAATTCTTTTGATATGTTCCAGTCTGGGTTTAGACCCCACCACAGCACTGAGACCGCTCTAGTGAAGGTAACAAACGACATTCGACTTCACACTGATGCAGGTAAAGTCACAGTTTTGGTCATGTTAGATCTTAGTGCCGCGTTCGACACTGTCGACCATGAGATCCTCATGCAGAGACTGGAGGACTGGGTTGGTGTCACTGGCACAGCCCTAGACTGGTTTAGGTCTTACCTGGAGGATAGGAAGTACTCTGTGGAGATTGGAGACTGCGTCTCAGATGATGTGGCCCTGACCTGTGGTGTACCACAGGGGTCGATCCTGGGACCTCTCCTATTTAATCTCTACATGCTGCCGTTAGGTCAGTTAATACAAAGAAACAAAGTGTCCTACCACAATTACGCTGACGACACTCAGATCTATGTCTCACTGACTGCAGGAGAACATGGACCACTGGATTTGCTCCTTCACTGTATCCAACAGATCAGTGACTGGATGCAAAATAATTTCCTCCAGCTAAATGCAGACAAAACCGAAATCATTGTCTTTGGTCCCCAGAAACAAAGAGAGGGCGTCATTTGTCAACTTCAGTCTCTCTCCCTACTTCCTTCAGACAAGGTCAGAAATTTGGGGGTAATACTGGACTCAGACCTAAATTTCAATAGCCACATAAAATCAATAACATCAACAGCTTTTTACCATCTGAAGAACATTGCCAAAGTTAGAAATATAGTGTCCAGGGCAGACTTGGAGATTCTTGTCCATGCATTTGTCTCCAGCAGGCTAGACTACTGCAATGGCCTGCTTACAGGTCTGTCCAAACAGACCTGTAAGCAGCTGCAGTACATCCAAAATGCAGCAGCTAGAGTCCTGACAGGAACCAGGAAGTATGACCATATTAGTCCGGTCCTCAGGTCTCTGCACTGGCTTCCTGTGGCTCAAAGAATAGATTTTAAAACGGCTCTGCTTGTGTACAAGTCTCTCCATGGCCTTGCACCAGAATACATTAGT